CACTGTGAGGTCCCTGCAGAGCCTCCGCATCCTGGGACAAACGGAGGAGTCAATAATGCTGTTAGCTCCTTAAATACAGATTTATTCCACCGACTGATTTGCTTAAAGCACAGATATACAATTATCTAACATAGATTAAATCTAATAGAATATAAATATACTTTAATCATCCTCAAGTTGGGGAAATAAATCAGATAATTACGATTAACCACTTATTTTAAACCTATATATATATAGACATGTATATCTGTATATGCTGTTGTTTTATTTATGGAGCTAGTAACAAAAATAATTTCCTTCTGGGATTATTAAAGTATTTAATAGTGATCTTACTGATTTGCTTAAAGCACAGATTTACAATTATCTAACATGTATTAAATGGAATAGAATATAAAAACACTTTAATTATCCTCCAGCGGGGGAAATGAATCAGATAAATACAATTAAATTATCATAATCTGAGAAGAACAGTTAGAAGTCACTTGAGAAAAACTTCCTAAATTATTGACATTATCATTACCACTTATCTTAAACCTATATATTAACATATAGTTATTTTTGTATATATTTATCTATATTCTGTGTGTAATTATGTATCATATCATATATATATGTACACATCTATATATGTTTATGCTGTTTTATTTATTTATTTATGGAGCTAAAAACAAAAATAATTTCCCTCTGGGATTATTAAAGTATTTCTGATCTGATTACACCAACTGATTTGATTAAAGCACAGACATAAAATTATCCAACATGTATTAAATGGAATAGAATATAAAACCACTTTAATCATCCTCCGGTGGGGTAAATAAATCAGATAAATACAATTAAATGAATTAATTAATAATTCATTAACTCATAATCTGAGAAGAATTGTTAGAGGGTCACTTTAGAAGATAGGAAGAACCTCCTTTATTAAACCAACTGATTCGCTTAAAGCACAGATTTACATTTATCTAACATGTATTCAATGGAATAGAATAGAAAAATACTTTAATTATCCTCCAGTGGGGGAAATAAATCAGATAAATACAATCAAATAATAATAATATGAGAAGAACTGTTAGAAGTCACTTGAGAAGAAAGAAAAACTTTCTAAATTATTGACATTATCATTACCACTTATCTTAAACCTATATATTTACATATAGTTATTTATGTATATATGTATCTATATTCCGTGTGTAATTATGTATGTATATATATATATATATATATATATATACACACACATGTATATATGTTTATGCTGTTGTTTTATTTATGGAGCTAGTAACAAAAATAACTTCTGATATGATTTGCTTAAAGCACAGATATAAAATTATCCAACATGTATAAAATGGAATAGAATAAAAATATACTTTAATCATCCTCCAGTGGGGGAAATAAATCAGATAAATACAATTAATGAATAATTAATTAATTTATAATATGAAAAGAACTGTTAGAGGTCATTTTAGAAGAAAGAAAGGACTTCTTGGACTTTAATAAATTAATTATCTTCAGATGTCTGAAAGGGTACGCGGGTTCCTTTGCAGGTTCCTGATAACATGATGAGACTCAACATATGATGGAAAGTTGTACTTACAACAGATAAAAGGGGAGAATAAACAATGGTGTGAATAAAAAAAAATTTTTTTTAATTTTTTTTTTAATTTAAATTAATTTTCTTCAGACACAGTAAATGGTGTAAAATGCTCACCAGGATGTCTGTGGAGGAAACGGAGGTTCGGTCCTCGATGATGCCGTTCATCTGCTGGCCCTCCGTTCGGACCCTGGGGGG